TGGATTTCTTGTAACTACTTTTAAAGTAGATTAAAGGATAAGAAATTAAAATATAGTTTTAATGTAATACTTTTATAACTTAGAGATCAATAAATTGTAAGAAAATTTTGTATTGAGCTCACATTTGGCAAAAAAAAATGTTAGAAAATACAAATATAGGCCTTATTACTTCTTCTCCAATACAAATGTCTCACACCTTTTAACTTCAGCTGAGTTCATTACACAAATATATCATATCTACATACCAAATCCAGATCAAAACAGACCATTAAAGTAGAAAGTACTGAACAATACAATATTTTTAATGGTAAAGAAATATTTAACTAATACCATGCATGATTGTGGTAAATAAAATCCATAATAACTATAGCAAATTGTGGATTCATCTTTTCAAGCTCTGCTCTCGCACTTTTCCATTGCTCTCGGAGCTGAAATTTTTACATTAACCGAACAAAAATAATCAAAAATAGACAAAAATTAAGAAGTTATCAATATATGATAATCTAAATACATACCAAAACCATAGTGTAAAAAAAAAATTACATACCGAGACCAATAGCTTCAGATCCTTTCATTATGCGTACGCGCTTGCATGATTCAACGAACATCCTATGACATAATTAACAACCTTGCTATTAAAACAAACATATACGAATATAAAATATGTTAAGAAATTTTATATCAAAATTAGAAGTCCGGGAAAAAAAAATCCCCCTAGTAAGAAAATTACTGTGGAAAACTTTTAAATGGTAGTCTTGAAGAAAATATATCATAATTAGCACTCTAGCGAATAACTTTAAGACATAATAATAAGTTCTATACATTGTCATGGGCAATTATTTATCCTGTTTTAGAAACTTGTGAATTCAATGTCATTGATGCAAAATTGCATGTTGGTAAATGTCACATATACACACACATATGAATTGAAGTAATTAAGTGAAAAGACTTACTCCCAAGGAACATCACCAACAAGCATCCAATCACCATCTTTGTCTTCGTAAGATGGAACATATTCGGAACCATCCATTATTTTCCTCTCTTTCATGAAATCTATCATTCCTTCTCCTCCTTTATTATTATTATTACCTAATTCCCATTTTTAATATATTAAGATAAATTTCACTTCAAGATATATAAACAATATAGAGTAATATTGTCTATCTTAAAAGAAAAACAAATTAAATTGTGGTTAAGTGAAACCTACTCATGGTAAAAGAGCTGAACATAGTGGCTAAAGCATTAGAGAGATCATTGTAGCTTTTGCACATTTTCAAGTCTATCTTCCTCAAGTACGGTGCTCCGTCCATCGACACCTTCACGAAAGCCGCCTCTGCGGTGTCTGACATTATTTTTTTCCGGTAGGATCTCACCGGTGGCCAACCCACCACTTGTGCCCTATACATTTTATTATGTTATTTTTAAATGACGCAAACTATATATAATACGAGATTATTCGTATGTTGTTAAATAGTTCATATTCGAGAAATGAAATTCATTAATTATTTTGTTAATTAGCAAGATTTATTTCATGATTGGCAAAACAAAAGTCTAGTCGAAGAACTGATTTCCTACCTCGCCTCGGCAATTATTTGGTGTGTATTTCAAAGTTAAAACAAAATTTATTTTGTTGCCAAACGCCAGATGAGAAATTATTAAATGTGTTCAACATTTCCAATTTACAATTTGCAAAAAAAAACAATAGTTTATAAAACAAACTTTTATATTTTGAAATGAATTCAGTTTCTTGAATTTCTTTTCTCATGCATAGGTAGGTCTATAGTTGACCAAATAAGAGATTTCACCGAATGATGTATGCATGAGAATATTTTATCTTTCTAAAAATAGAAAGGGTAAATTGGTAAACTTACTTGGCAGGAGGAGGCTTGGTTGGATATTCTTTGGGACAAATAGAAGAAGTGTTGTCTTCGGAAACAAGAGATTCTTCTTTGTTCGTCTCAGGCTCATTGTTTAGATTCAGCTTCAGATCAACCGTCTCTGAATACCCTCTCTTGTTTCCGGCCACAGTCGCCGTCGTCTCTCCGCCTCCCGGCAAACCTAAACACAGATTAAGCTCCATATATATCTTCGGTTCACAATTTCTTCTCCAATCTTGTCCTCTCTCTCTCTTTTTTCTAGCTAGAATATATGTCTTTGTCTTCTTCTTCTTATTGCGAATGTGGTGAGCAAAATTCTCTCTCTCTTTCTCTAAGCTCGAGGCCAAGTAGCTGCATGTGTATGTCGTATTTAAGATCTTTGGTGAAAGTGGCTTTTTAACACGTGGATCGCTCTGAACCGTTGGATGAAATCATCCTATACAG